CACACTGTCATACCATGATCGGATATGGGTCGCATAGGGTCAAAAAAATCGGATTTGATGCGCTTTCGCCTACAGTGTGAACGTAGCCTAAACTAGATTTGCTCTCTAGTTTAGCTACGAGCTAAGTGTAAAGAAAGCAATACATGTCAAATTGATTGTCACCGACAAATGCTTCCAACACCAAATCACAAAAATGAAAGAAAGTACCATCTTTAAAGTGCCTATGATAGGCATTTCAGGTTGAATTCATTTGTTTTGGACTGACATTACATGGGACCTGTTGTATTCATTCCCAAAACCAGATTTTCTATTCTTGAACTCGACTCTAAGCTACTATAGTGGAGTATTGTAAGACAAGCCATTTTACCTCTGTTCCCCTTGCCTTTAAACCAGCTTTCCTCTAATTGGCTAGCCTTCAGAAACAAAAGGTTTGAAGAGTGGGTCGGTGGGGCCAGAGCTGTGCGTGGGAGATCTTTATTAAGTGCATTGGCTCTCACTGACATCATCCAAAGCAAAAAGTAATAATAAGTTGTCTGAAGCCTGAGGTTTTGGCTCACAGTGACTGCTTGTAGATTATTTAAAAACTTTGGCCATGTTTAATATTAACATCCACTAATGTAACAATACATCTATGACAGAAAGCAAGTACAATAGGTCCCCTTTAAAATGTCACAGAAAAGTCCATAAAAACAACAGTTTTATGCATGTTCACAATACCGATTGTTAGTTCAGTGCTGTGCTTTGACTTGGCTCCCAGATCTTTTTAAAAAAATGTATAAAAATTAAAAGTATGCACTGTATGTCAATCTTATGAAGCAATAAACTTGATATATCAACACAGGTAGGGCACACGTGAGCAATAACCAATCACTGATCACCACACTGCGGTGGAAAGTCAGACAAATATGGCCGTTAGTAGTGGGGAGTTAATTTAATGACCCCCATATCTTAGGCTAATGTGTTCACTGGTCTGTACAGTCTAGACAGAGAAAACCTTGAACATTTATTATGGCTAAAACGTTAAGATTTATCGCCGCCATATTCCGGTTTGACAGCACTTTGAACGCGGGCTTTAAAAATGAAATGCCAAAAGCGTTCTGCTGTGTTTTCTAATGATCACATAATAATTCAGGTACTGACCTGTTCCCGAGCGAGGTTGCAACATTATCAACTAATAGCCTGAGCCATAAAAATCAAGGCCAGATTGACCCAAACTGAAATGACGCAAAACTACAAAGAATGAGGTACATAGCAGCTTGATTCTTTTCCCCCTTTCTGTGTGCCGGGTCAGCCTCGGAGAATCACACTTTCAGCAACATGCCAGGATGCATCACATCTGCCAACCAAACCTCGATGTGTCCCCTGCTCTGAGGTCAGTCACACACTGTGCCGCTCTACTGCATCATGGGAAAACTCCGCAGGGTGGTCGCGGGGGCGGGGGTTGGCTGAATGAGCCACTTGGTGGTATGGTGATGCGAAAGCATGTGTACGCACGTGGGCAGAGACGCAATTGTAACGCGTATGTGAGGATGTAGTGCCTTCGTCATCACGGAGTCACTGAATGAGAATCCTCAGAGAGGGGGGCAGCTCTGTTTTTGTCATAGTTACAGAATGAATAAAAGCAGTCTGCTTCAATCACATCAAAAGAAAAACTCCAGCTGAATAAATATGGGAACAAGCAAACAACTGGTGACTGAATAGATGGATAATAATGGAAAAAAAAATCCCTCTTCAGTTACTAAACTCCTTCTGGCTGTTGGGTTTGGCCAGGAAAAAGCACTGCTACTGTGCATATGTTTTGAGCCCTGAACACCAGCACTTTGTTTTATATTCGAATGATGACAATCCATCATTAAGGGACAAAGACAAGAACGTACACACACGCACGCAGTCAGTCAAATTCATCGTCACAAAGTTACTCACGTTGCCATAGTCAATGTAGAAGACATGGACCTTTGCCGGTGACTCAACTTTCTCCACTCTGGCTCTGTACCTGTAACAGCAAAAAAATAAAAAATAATAATTGAGAGAGAGACAGAGGGAAGGGGTAGCAGGGAGCAGAGAGAGAGAGAGAGTATACAGCACAGGGGAAACAGATGAAGACAGAGGGCACAAGAGGAAAAGGAGATGAGTAAATGATTCTGTGCTTATTTCCCTGGGGAGAATGTGTTGGAGGATCTGTCTGTTGTGATCGGAGGAGTGGAAGAGGAGGCGGGGTGAGGTGGGACAAAGGGGATCTATCAGGACATAGCAGGGCTGTGAGAATTGCACAGGGGGCTCCATGCAATAAAAGAGAGAAATTTAAACCTATTTTTGCCTTGTAGCAAATAACGTCAGTGCATTAGTGCTAATCAAAAAACCCAGCAGTTTCACTTTGTAACGGTTATATTTTCAAGCGTATCCGACAATTCGAATGAAAATAAACTTGTTATTACAAGGACATACTAATCAGGGTTAAATTAAAGGGAAAAAACCCCTGAAAACAAAACAACAAAATGCCTCAACAGTGGCTAAATCCTTCCTGTGAATTCATACAGATGCAACATAAGAACTCGTTTTCCCTCACGCTTGTGTCGTTTCATCTGACCATCGCTGACTCTTAACTTTAACAAATGAGCGTGAGGAAGAAAAATTGGCTGCACACCAAGGACAGCAGGAAAAAGTCAAATAATTAGACCCACATGGGCAAAGACAGAAACGAGAGCACAAAGTTAAAACTGAATAAGTGATTAACAGGAAGACAACAGCAATGGGCACAAAGAACAGGAATGAGAAGAGCAAAAGACAAAGTGACGAGTGACTAATGAACAGTTTTTCTTATTCGCTCTTTTTTCCCCATTCACTTTGACACTGTGGTATTCTGAGAGGCCTTGTAAGGCGACAAATTTCTATTATTACTCCCCGAATGAAAGGAGGACGTTCCGCATGCGTCGCAGAATACTTCGATACGGATACAGAGAACAATGAATGTAATTAGCTTGCTGATAAATAATAGAAAATGACAAAGATATCAGATATTTTCCACCTAAAGTGGGGTTCCTGACAGACTTTTTTTCCACAAAAAACAGGTTAAAGAAGTGAAAGGTTTACAGCAGATGGTTTGCTATAAATTTGAGCCCTGCCCCGAAAAAAACAGGACAGGAAGATGGAAGGAGGGATGGAAGAACGAAAGGACAGCACCTGGGTTGGGGGAACATTTGGTTTTTAATCAGTTTCGTGGTCTTTTTTCACCGTCACCTTCTTGACAGACTCCCTCTCCCTCCCTCGATCACTGTGACTTCTATCTGTCCCATAACCATCTGTAAACTACGAACATCCAGTGAGGAGATGATGAAGAGGTGTGTATGTGAGCTACTGTCAAGCTACTGCTGATTCTGAAGGGCCAAAGCAGTGGCATTGAACTAATTACACCCTGTGGGTGTCTGCAGTCGACACAGGCTTAAATAGAGACAAGGTAAAAATGAAATGTCAGGTGTTCCTGTGAGGGAAATAACTACATTGTGCAAGCACATATTGTACCTCACAAAAATGTATAAAATAAATGTTTAGTTTCGAGTTTCTTCCCTCAGCTGATAAATCACACGCCACCGTCAAGTTCTTTTTTTCTTCCCTCGGGGCGTCTGTTGATACCGAGTATTGTGGTAAAATCCATCAATAAGTTGGCCATCCATTGTATTATGTGATGACACAGATGAAGAAACCAGATACCATCAATCACATCAGCTGACACCTGATCCACGTAATAAGGTCAGTGTCACTCCTGACCGGTGCTGTCAAAATTGGGTGATTATTCATTGAGAAAAGAAAACCTGCACAGATCGAACTATTTATACATGCACTGCATTATTTATATCACTGCCTAGAAAACTGAATGTAATTTTTTTTTTTATAATACTGAAGAACAGCAGCTAATAACCCTTGTGTCAAAAGAGAGAGACGTCTTAATCCTTCCTGTTTGTCATAAGATGACCTGACAATGTTGAGAAGGTTGCTATGAGGTTGCTAACATCAGAGGAACTATAACGCATGCTCACCATTCACCATCAGCAAACTTGGCTATGCAGTAGTCTCCCCGGCGTGGAGAGTAGGATCCTTCCACTGGTGGCTGGGCGGCGATTTCTGCTCTCATGGTCTCCATCAGATTCTCCAGCTGACTTCCTGATAGGAAATACATGTGAGATAACAGGTGAGGACTGGAGTTCAACTTACAATTCCAAATGGAATTTGAGTTTTCTTCAAATTACACTCATTACATGCCAGTGGCCAGTTTTTAACATTGTTGTGGTTTCAATCGTTTCTCCATTTGCATTTCACCTGACTAAAAATGGGACTTTCCACTCTTGATGCAGCAGCAGTTAAAAATATGTAACATCTGTGTGTAAAATGGACCTAAAATGCATTAAAATCCTATACAGAGGTGCCTGTGATTCCTCCCTTCAGCTGCTGGCAGTATGTGACTGATGGAGGGTGGATCCTGAGGCAGCGGCAGAAAATGAACACGTGTATCTTACCCCATGCAGGGCTCCTAAATAATTGTATGAATATAAATGAAATCAAGTCTGGCGCAGCTTTGTGAGGCATTATGATGCTTCTTGTGAGAGCGAGTATTTTCCTGTCGGCTTGTTTATTCCCTTCATAACTGAATGGTGCAACTTCTAATAATCATTTTCCTTTTTGTTATGAATAAATTAAAAGCATTCCTGCATGCTCGAGTACAATAAGATACTTCAGTTCAAATTAAATTAAATCACTGCTTTAGAGAATGTACTTTATGCCTTGATTCAAATAAACAGACACAATAGGTGTGCTCAAAATGTTCTGAAAACACATAAGACTTTCAGAAATCTTGACCTCTGACCTTGACCTTGAGGTTACCAAAATTCAAACTTCCCTGAGATTTCTAGCAGAACAGATTCTGTATGACTCAGAAAAATAGATGGTATGAATTTGAAAATTGTACGTTGGCTTGTTCTCGAATTATCGCATTCATAAACTTGGGTGTCTGTGCCGCTTGCCTGGCACGACGACGACAATACCGCATCAGCCTTTTTACATTTGAGGAAAACAATCTGATTATGGTGGGTTCCAGTCTGCCATCCTATGCTCTGAATGCACTGAAAAAGCAGGAATTCTTTTGGCCTTTCAAATGCAATCTTTGCTTCCACTTCTTCAAAATGAAAATCAAGTTGAAGGATAGCCCTTTTTTTGACATATTAGAGGTGAATCACAGAGGCAGAAGTGCAAGGGGACATGACTTCTACTGAGAGATCTAAAAATAATAGCCACGCTGAAACCCGTCCAGAGGTGCAGAAGACGATGACCTTGAATGTAAGATTAGTCAAATTTAAATCAGGCTTAATTTTTCAACACTTAAGCACGACTGGTGGCTCGGTGGGGAAAAAACCCCCAAACAAAAACAAAACATTAACGCCTTCAACCCCAAAACAACCTGCTTCTCTTGTTATGCCTTGACTCTGTTAGAGAAACAGAATTTTAAATTAAGCAAGCCAGCTCTCCCAGTGGGTCTTTATGGCCTATCAAGCCATTATATCATGCGAGGGAGACCTATTATGGTGGATTCAAGGCGAGAATGGGGCTGTCGATATGGCGGGAGCTTGAGAAATCAGATTATGAGTCAGGGCTTCATCCAATGACTGCAGTAAGTGGCAGCGTGATTTGCACCCATCAGTTGCAATTGGGGAGCTGATTGTGAACACCACTAAGTATGTGCATCTCCAAGAGAGCCACTTTTCTGGTGTTTGTGTATTATGTACAGTATATTTATTTGTGTACTGCAGAGCATGTTTACACACGCATGTCTATTAGTGTTCGCAAGTGGCTGTGCGTCTTGTGTGTAGAGCTGTATGAAGAGTGTGGAAGCAATTACAGCAGCTAGTTTAGTAAAGTGGCCCATATAAATTTCCATGGTGGTATTTTTAGAGGCTATTTTCACTGATCTACCACCTGGAGGGGGTTTGTGGGCAGGAGCGCCAGAATCATGTGCAATGGAGCATCTTTAAAAACAAATTCATACAATGGGAAAGGAAACTGAGGCAAAAACAAAATTGCATTACACATACAGCACTGTGAAAATGTTGGAGGTTATTCAAGGAAAGCAGAGATGCTTTCGAAAATACTGCAAATAGCTTCCATTCCTCCCCCCAATAAAATCATGTAGTAAGCGGTAAACATAACAGTCACATCAATATTTTGTGTGACAATACTGCATCTACGCATACACTTACTCCCAGTCTTACAATAGCAGATCTGGATATTTTTAAACCGCATGGATAGAAGAACCTAGCATATCAGTCTTGGGTAAAAACCCAATTTCTCACCTTGTGCATGTGTACTTTTATTTTACAGTATAACTGGGGTATTACAAAAACATGTTTTCTCCCACTAACCTGTTTTCTTGTGTTAAAATAAATGCAGTCAGTGTGTGCATGTATCTGCTTGCAAAATTAGTAGGTGCTGCTTATGCATGTTACTATCAAACAGCTTGGAGGCAGGCACTGCACGCACCTTTTTTAATTTTTTTTTTTTTTTTACTTATGTACTGCTGCTGTGAGTTGTCATTAACACCTAAAATTATTTATGCTTGTGGAGAACAAGAAAACACAAATAATGATGCTGTTTTTCCCACGGTTATCTGTGCCGAGACAGGCAGGCAAGCTGCAAACAACAGCAGACAGGGAACCTTCATTTGCATGCTGTCAAACCTGGAGAAAAACACCACCGAGGGATACAAAGGCATTGTGGGAGTGTGTAAGAAAAGTTGGGAGCTCAGTTTGATTGTGAGGAGGGGGGAGGCGGCGGTCAAGGTGGGGGTGTCCGACACATCACTAGCCACCCACTGGTACAGCAATTGCTAATGAATGCAGCAGAGAGGTGGGGAAGAAGCATCAACACACCAAACAGACCCATCCTCAGCATTTTGTAGAGAAAGCAGTTTTTAGAAAACACATCAGATGAATTGCTTTCTAAACAACTTGCATCATATGGACCAAACACGCACGCACGCACGCACACAGGCGGGGTGGTTGCATCATTATACTCCAGCTTTACCACTGTGGCTTGGTGCAGAATAGCTAATATTGCAGTGGACTACAGCTTCCACAGTCAGCCACCTCCTTGATTTATTAAGCAAATTAAAAAAGTTAGTGCGTGCCTTCCTTCTCAATGCGAATGTGTGTGCATTTAATTGAAAATGCTTTATTGATGTAAATGGTATTTACAATACCGAGCAACAGAATGGATTATTTACAGTTTGAACTGGAAGCTGAAGCTTATGAGACCACCATATCACAGATTTTAGCATGAGCATAATTATGCACAAATCTCACTCTGCAGGTGGGCCTTTTAGTGCCCATCACCTTTATTTCCTCTTGTACACTGCTGTTTGGTACAGTTTGAGCTAAGGGTTCTATTTTCCCTGATGTTTGGAAGAAGAAGAAAATTAACATATTCATATTCACCTCCTAATTCTTATCCCCCAGAAAGAGAATAATGAAGAATATAATACATCCTTATTTACCAGATGCATTTTCTTGCATCACAGTTGAGCTTCAGAACTTTCTTATCTCAGTCTCAACCTGATAGAGTTGCAAACTGACCCCTACAGAGCACTCAATAATGTTCATTTCCACATCTGCAGACTGCAAGGTGTGTTCAATTTAGTATGCAGCGTGGGACTCACGCATGATCATTATTCCATGTTGGGATTTGAAGGTCTAATTAGGAGTACAGAATTCTTGGATCTAAGATCAGAAACACTCCATCCATATGTCCAGGTTTAAGTCTATGCTTGTCCATAGAAGAACATCAGTGTACTGACAAGGTGCAAATCGCAACACCAATAATAACAAAAGCAACAACAACAACAAAATGCACATGGAAATAAGGTGGGTGTGCAAGGAATTACACACAAATACCTACAATTAAGTCTCCTCTGACTGCAATCAGTGTGGAAGAAAGCTAAAATGAACTTCACAAACTGCAGGTGAGCACTGACAGAAGTAATTTGCCATCTGGGGTGGATTGAATAAAAGCTTACGCAAGTGCGGAAATTCTGAATGAATAGGAAGAGTCGCATTAGCATGGAAGGACAGCGAGGAAACGCTGCATTACAGCACAAGATTCCCATTTTACGTTGGCATGAAGACAACTAAATATCTGCGTGCAGATTGGATAAACCATGTCAAGCGTGAGTGCTCATTTTGCGTTGAATGGAGAGCCAAAGTGATGATCTAAAAAGCAGCCAAACCACTGACTGTGTCTTATGGCGGCCAATTTCTTTCTGTCTTCATCTCTTTATTCATCTGTTGTTTTTTTTCCACCCCCCTCCCTCGTTCTGTAATTTGTTTATTCACCATTATGGATGCAGCTGTTTGCAAATCATATATAATTACATTTTGAATGCCCACAGAATAGCGAGGGAACAATTAGGCTTTAAAACAAGAAAACAACTGAAAAGGTGAGCGAAAAAGAGAGAGGGGAGAGAGACTGACATGTTACAGGTTAGTTATGATCATATTTTATTATTTTGTGGCACACGGTGTGTGAACAAAGGCGAGGGAAAACAAAAGCCAGTAAAAACAGCAAATCAAGTGCCCTTTCACTACGCATCCCAAGGCTCCACTGAATTCTATTAAGCTGTTTACAAAAGGCATTAAACCCACACAACGGTAAATAATCACAATATGAAAGAAGCTCAGGCCAGGAGAGCAATGGCTATCTATGAAAGCCTTCCAATTTCCTGGTTTATAAGAATGACAAAATTAGGAGTCAAAGCAGAGAGCAACTATGAAAAGATAACTGCCAGGGAAATAACTGACTGGAGAAGATCCAGACACATAAACCTAGCTACAGCTCAGTCAGATTTATAAAAGCATGGATGGGAAGAGCTAGAGGAGACACACAATTACCCCAAAAGCCTTTTTTTCCCCTCAGCATTCTCTTTTTTTTTTTACATCAACATTCTCGCTCATGTTGAAAATGCTGCAGAACCTTTGTTGTGCCCCCTGCCTGGCTAGTCAAAGACTGTGGATACATGGATGGTACATCATCTACCATCTGAGAGATTCACAAACACTGAACGGAGCTTAGTTTGCGGTGTTAAATATGCATGAGGTTTGGACAGGCTTCATCCTCTCGGG